TGGGGCCCCTGCCTGTCAGCGCTGCCTCTGCCGCCCTTCTTGAGGGCAGTCATTTCTAACAGAGGGGCAGGTGGAGCAACGGGAGGGTCTGTGCTAAAATGCCCGTGACAGATAAATCCATTAGGGCTGATTGGCCAAGCTTCAGTCTGGCTCACTAAACCACACCAGGTGTCTGCCGTGCTACAGGAGAGGGTTTTGATCTGTTCTTTGTACAGGAACGGAATCCAATTCCTCCAACTTTTTTGCAGGTTTCTTGGCATTTATCTTACAGACCCAGTTTTTTGAGTCCAAGGGTTATGTGGGGATATTAACTGTCATTCACAAAATTACATACAAACAAGTTGCTTGTCCTAATGGTTAAACTGAGAATCTTGAAGACAAAGACATTTTAAATTGAAACCAGCTTGAATGCTGGAAACACTGAAGCTTTCCAGCCTTCAGACAGCTTGCCTGCACCTTCTTTCCCTGAACTCCTCTCTCCTGACCAGCCTATGGACTACTGCACTCCTCCTCCCAAATGCGTGGCTCCTCCAGAGGCACAGCTCGCTCCCATTCTTTGCCTTTTCCTCCTATGGTCAGCAAAACAGCAGTGTTTGGACAGGTGGTAGGCGAGTTCTCCAGCTGAGCCACTTTCCACAGCCAGGTCCTAAAATCTACTGACCCAGGCAGTGAGTCCCAGGAGCAAGAAACAAGATCTCTGGGCTTGGAAAAGGAGGAGATGCATCTCCAGAAGATGGACTGACCACCAGCAGCAGGACAAGGCACTAGAGGAGTTTTGCTCTGCATCAGTAACTCTGTCTTGGTCACTTGAAGAGTTCAGTTATGTTATATATTCCTCACTGTGATTTTTTAAGAAGAGATGCTTCCATAGGGAGCCAAAAGTTCCTTACTTAAATAATAAAGTTATTCATAAACATATTTATCCGTATATATCTATATATAAATCATCATAAGTGTATCATCTAAAACGTGAACACCTGGAATGCTTTTGATTCCCTGTGAGTCCTCCTAAAACACAGGCAATTCTTTACAAGAAGAGGTT